TAATAAATAAAATAAATTAAAAAGATTTCTCTCATATTCTTGCTGAAAGTGTATATCCCTGGGCCCCATTCCATGTTTACTGAAGGGACAGGACCCAGGAATCTGTATCTCTAACAGGCAGCCAGGCAAGTTTGGGAAATGGCAGGGGGCAGACATCCTAAGAGACCCATAAAGGCTTCTTTTTTAAAAGATTTTATTTATTTATTTATTTAAATATTTGAGAGAGAGCAGGGGGAGGAGCAGAGGGAGAGGGACAAGGAGACTCTGCGCTGAGCACAGAGCCCCACACTGGGCTCGATCTCACAACTCTGAGATCACAACCTGAGCCGAAATCAAGCTCTGACACTCAACCAACTGACCCACCCTGGCGCCTGCCCAGGGCTTACTAATCACACTGACCAAACCCTGCTAGGTCCATGGGTTACTCAGGAGAAAAAGATGCTGAGGGTGCCTGGCTGGCTCAGTTGATAGAGCATGTGACTCTTGATCTCAGGGTTGTGAGTTCGAGCTCCACATTGGGCATAGAGATTACTTAATAAAAATTTTAAAAGAAAATTTAAAATTCAGGAGGAAAAAACCCTGAAGACCCAGCTCCCCAGGACTCCCAAACCACTGTGTCTGGAGGAGGCACTGTAGCAAAGTAACTGCCAAATTGGTCTTCTTGTTGCAGCTTAAACACCCAAAATATAATTTTTTTTTTTTTCAATTCTGCAAGCACATTTTCTTCCCTTTTTGTAAACAGGTCAGACGTTTCTGATTAATTTCTGGTAGGGGTAATAGCAATGGCCTCTTAAGGGTCCCTCCTCTTCCACACCTGCCTCTTTCCCTTCTCAGCCCAGCAGCCAGAGTGGTCTTGTTAAGTCAAATCCTGTTGTTCCTTTGTTTGAAATCCTCACCCGGCTTCCCATTTCATCACAGTAAAAGCCACAGTCCCTACAATAGCCCACAAGGCTCGTAAGGGTGTGCTGTCTCTCCTTATTTCTCTGACCCCATCACCTGCTGCTTCAGCCAGTTTCTCCTAGCCGTTTCTCATTCACTTCAGGGATGCTCCCTGAGAAGTCTGTGCACTTGCTATTTGTTTCCTGTCGCTGGGACTCTCTTACCCCAGATGTCAGTGTACCCCATCAGTCCCCCTCCAAGACTGCCCAAAGGCCACCTTTTTTTTTTTTAAGATTTATTTATTTATTTGAGAGAGGGAGCACGAGTGGGAGGGGCAGAGGGAGAGGGAGAGAGAATCTGAAGCAGACTCCACACTGAGCACAGAGCCTGACGTGGGGCTCATCTTGGGGCTTGATCTCACAACCCTGAGACCACCACCTGAGCTGAAACCAAGAGTCGGACTCTCAACTGACTATGCCATCCAGGCGCCCCAAAGGCCACCTTTTTTTAAACTCACAAACATTGCCTACACTCCATCTCTGCTTCATTGTCCTTAATTTTCTTTATTATCTGTCTCCTTCCATCAGAGCTTGACTTCGTGAGGACAAGGATTTTGTCAGTTTTGTTCACTGCTGTATCACCAGGGCCTAGAACAACAGTAGATGTTGAAAAGAAAATTTGTAGAATGTTAAAGAAATGAAAGAATTTTTATTCTGATTATTTTCAACTCATGTCCCTGACTCTATTTTCTAGCCCGTCAGTTTCTGGCAATCCTTCCCCCACCCCCAGTTCTCTTACTGCTATATTTGAAAAAATAAGTTCAGATGACAAAAACCCGATTCACAAACTTGGCATGCATTTATAAAAATAGCATTATCAAAGTTTAGAAGCAAAAAAAGTTGAGATTTTTAGGGATATCTGACAAAGGTTAAAGATGGATACGGTCCTTCTAAGTCAGCTGATTGAAAATGAAACTGTTTTAAACTTCTTAAAAAGTATGAGTTCGAGTGTGTTTAAGGGAGCTAAGAGGGAAGACCATTAAAGACTCACAAATGCTGAATGTACACTTTCGAAATAAGTGTGGAGAAGGGGTGCGGGGGAGAGCGGGCCAAATAGACAGATATTTCCTGTGCATTGCAGAGAAAGCTAGAACGGTCAGGAAAGTGTGGCATTCAGCAGTTTAGAAACAAGTTAGAAATTCAGGACTTCATAGCAAAAAATATAAGGAAGGACCCACTGGGACAACTTACAATATAAAATTAACCAAGCTCAGGGGCGCCTGGGTGGCTCAGTCAGTTAAGCATCTGACTCTTGATTTCGGCTCAGGTCATGATCTCAGGGAGATCAAGCCTCAAGTTGGACTCACGCACTGGGCGTGGAGCCCGCTTGAGACTTCCTCTCTCCCTCTCTCTCTGCCCTCCTCCCACCTAAACAATAAAAATTAATAAATTAAATAAAAATAAAATTAAAAACAAACCAAATTCACACTGGGATCACTAAGTGATGCTTATCCTGAATGGTGCTGGGGGGCAGGGTGGGGGTGTCATATTCTTCACGTAGACCCAGGACACAGAGCAATCTAGATACCTAAGCCAAGTAAACTCCTCAGAAAGAAGGATCTTCCTTTGAGTTTGGAGGCTTGTTAGCTCAAAGAGTCACCCTCTCTTTAGTGAGGGGCTGCTGGTGGGTTTGTCATGACTTCCAGGGGCTTCCAAGTCTGTCCATCTGTGTGAATGGAGGACAAGGGCAACACTTGTTTCTAGGGATCTCTTTTTAAATCTGGAGGAAAACAAATACAATAAAATTTTGAATTCTGACAATATTTCACCTCCGAAAAGGGCTACAAAAGGCCTGAGATGGCTAAGTGGGTGTCATAGGTGTCTAATCCTAGGTAGGTCCTGACTTTGACCTTAGGCAAGTCATTCAGGTAAAGCCAGAACTTCCTAGCAAACACCTTCCCTACCTAACCCTCTCTTGCCAGAATCCTTCACTGGCTGCTAAAGGGGAGGAGTGACTCTTCCACTCTTTCAGCTGCAAAGGATCAACTCCCATGTGTGTGGATTCCAGGATTTGGGAAATCACTCCATCTAGACCTAAAAGTCGTTTTGAGTTTGATTGTCTTACAGATTGCAAGTTAAACACCAAATAGCTCTCTATGCATTTTGTTTTTCAACATAAAGATCTAACTTGATAGAGAAGTTTTTTCTTTGCCCCTAGAAAATTGCCTGGTTTTAGAAAATATTCAAAATTAGTGCTGCAGCAGCAACGTTTTAATCACGCCAAAGCACTAGATCTTCTGAGGAAAAACAGGAACTGGGCAAATACTGGAGTTACTCAGACTTTCCCTAGAATGAAATCTGTTCCCCCTGAAGCAACGTTGTTCACTGGTTTAAATACACAGGCATCTTTTAGTTCAGATGAGAACTCGTCACAACAGTGGGCCAAAAACAAACAAAAGAAGCTAGAATCAGGAATCACATCAAATCAGCAATGCCATTTACCTTCTCTAGAAGCTTTCTTCAGGCTTTCTTTCCCTCCTTTTCTAGATATTTTCTGGATGTAGTCAGTGGAGTAGGAAGAGAAAGACAAAAGCAGCTTTTTGATAGGGTTGTGAGAAAAGCTTCCTCCCTTGATATGAGCCGAGCTGCTTGGGTGCGGCCTTCCCGGTAATCCCGTCTCCAGTCAGGCACTCAAGTGTGTGCAAAGGAGACTCCCACTGCCCTGCCCCCCACCCACCCACCAAAGGCTCTGGGTCCCTCCACAATGGGGACTTAGGAGCTGGACAGCACCCTACACCGCCACTGCTCTTTTCCCAGGGAGCCTGCCCCTCCCGACCCTTCTATGGGGCAACCCCAAGAGGTCTCCTCTGCTCTGCACAGTCACCCGCTTCCTTTCTCCCCTGCCCCCTTGACCTGGGCTACTCAGAGAAAGGTGTCTCTGCGCTAGAAGTCCACTGTTGGCCCTGCTTCAGGCCCCTATCCAGGCCTGCAACTGTAGGATTTTCTAAAATCTTTTAGGATGTTCTTTCTCAATGCTGTTCCATCTCAGTTCCAGCCTCCAGTTCCGTCTTGGACAAACATGTAAGAAAGGCTCTGAGGGGCGCCTGGGTGGCTCAGTTGGTTAAGCGACTGCCTTCGGCTCAGGTCATGATCCTGGAGTCCCGGGATCAAGTCCTGCATCGGGCTCCCTGCTCAGCAGGGGGTCTGCTTCTCCCTCTGCCCTCTTCCCTCTCGTGCTCTGTCTCTCATTCTCTCTCTCTCAAATAAATAAATAAAATCTTAAAAAAAAAAAAAAAAGAAAGGCTCTGAGCTTGATTATCCTTATCATTGTGGCTAAAACACTCAACCCAGGTCATGATTTAGGGAAACTTTTCACTTCCAAATTTTTAAATGTTGACCCATGTGAATGTCATCTATTCAAAGATCTTAATTTTAAAACTACATTTGGGGAGTGAGGAAGAGGCAGTTGATAAGGAAGACTGACAGGAGGCTGGTAAGTAGGAATGGGAGTTCAGGGGGAAGAATGGATTCTGAATGTCCAATTCTGAGCCCTCCCGTGAGATTCAGACCAGCATGGGTCTGATACTAGAGCTGGAATTTATGATTACGACTCCAGTCATAAAATGCCAATTTTCTCATACCAGCTGAGTTCCTTCCCATGGTCTTTTTTCCACATCCTCTGAAGCTGGAGCAAGAAATCTACTCCAACAAGTCAGACACCACCACCACCACCCCCCCGCCATGTATAGACAAATAATATGCCAGACCTCAGTGGAAAAAAAATCCGCTCTTATTTTTAGTTCCTCTGAGATATCTATTTGTTTTATTTTAAACATTACTAAAGACTTATTTCTCCCCATTTATTAATACATCTCAATTCTCTGTTTCCTCTTTAAATTTTAACTAAAGTTTTATATCTTATTTCTTTCCCCCATCTCTTTCTCTTTTACTCATTCATTCATTCATTCATTCACTATATATTGTGTATCTAATAAGTTCCATACACTGTGCTAGGCATTGTGGAGCTATAATACTAAATCAGAGGTTACCCCATAATCTTACCAGTAAAGAAGTTAGGAAACATTTGCTACATAATGACATATGCAGGTTAGAATATCAAACATCTTAAAAAGAAGTACAAATAAAGTGGGAGAATTGAGACTTCATGGTCTTTGAGTTGGTCCTTGAAAAATAGATAGGTTTTTCGATATGCCCATGTAAGAGCTAGCCCAAGAAAGGTGTCTTCGTGTGCTCGGGCTGCCATAACATAATATCATACACTGGGTAGCTTAAATAGAGAAATGTATTTTCTCACAGTTCTGGAAACCAGAAGTCCCAGATCAAGGTCGTGTAGGGTTGGTTTCTGGTGAGAGCTCTCTTCGGCTTCCAGATGGCCTCTTTGTCCTCACATGGCTTTTCCTCTGAGTTTGAATGTGGAGAGAGAGAATGAGCTCCCTGGTATCTCTTATAAGGACACTAATGCTATTAGATCAAGGCCCCATTTTTATGACCTCATTTAACCCTAATTACTTCTTTGGAGGTCCCATCCCCAAACACAGCCACCTATGAGGGTTAGGGCATCAACATATGAATTGGAGGGGGGAGGCAGGGGGAAGAGACACAACTATTCAGTCCATGACCAAGGGACTGAGAGAGAAGGAGGGAAAAGGACCCTAATGGAGAGAAAAGCACCAAGCAAGACAGCAAAGGGGGCAGCATTTTTGGAACACCATGCAGTCGGATTTGCTTCTAAAGCCCATAAAGAATAACAGCAAGAATAATGTTGGAAAGTTGATCAGGCCAGTTTGTGGTGGACTGGATGCCAAGTTTAGAGATTTAGATTTCATTCTGTAGGCACTCAGAGCTATAAAAAGTTTTAAGTAGAAGAGCTGTATTACAGGAAGATTAACTGACAGCACCAGTGTAGTGATGCCGGGACCCTGCCAATGTAGGAATTTGAGGAACTCTTGCCACTCCAAGTGGAAAAAACCTCCACGGTTTACAAAGCACTTTCCCATCTGCTATCTTGACTGACCTGCACAATTAGAACTAAAGGTACACCATTTTTCCAGCCACATGTAGGAGGAAAAAAAAAAAACAAAACAAAACAGATATAACTATCTCATGCCACAGGAGTCCCCAGAAAATGGGACACACCACCCCCTCTGTTTTGGAAGTCCACACCTAAATCACAGCTGTTAGCACGGGGGTTCGTGCAGTAATTACGAATCGTAGAGCAAACATGAGTTTTCCCAGGCTGGCCTAGATTCTTGATCATAGGTGAGACTTCCTGATACATTTTTCAATCTTCTAAAAAAAAAAAAAAAAGATTGACATACAACAAACCTACAGAGAAGTGCATAAAACATAAATGTAAGGAGCGGACCACAGAATTTATCGTCCAAAACAGAACATGTTGGAGACTGAAAAAAGGGTACTATTAATAATTCACCTAGTTTGAGGCTTAAACTGGGACAGTCCCAGGCAAAGATTATGTTCACCTTGTAATAAAAGGAACCACCCCCTAGTTGAGAAGACCCTCTAGCTCCCTTCTAGATCACACCCCTCTCCTCCAGCCTAGATGTAACCATTATCCTTACTTTTATAGTAATCATTGTCCCTTTTTCATTGCTGTATTTTTTTTTAATTTGGGAATGCCCAAAAGGAGAGCAAGGACAGACCCTAGAACACAACAGGATTATACTAGACCTCATTCTAGCATCGGTTCCAACACTTTTTAGGTTCTACTCCCATCATGCAAGTCATGTAAATATCCTCAGCCTTGGTTTTCTCTTGTGTAAAATTAGAAAAGTCAGCATTGTAAAAGAGGTAAAAGGGAGTTATTTTCAGTAAAGACACAACTTGGGGCATTTGGCATGGTTTATAGCCACAATGACTCTTCCTCATTATCTCGAGAAATCACCATTTTTAAAGGGCTGCATCAGCTTTATGGGCTTCTCTTCCATTATTTAGAAGCAAAAAGAAAAATACCTCCCTCACAACATTTCCCTAGTTAGATCCAAATGAAAGAAATAAGAAGGTTAATAAGAAAAAGAAAATAAGGACAGTTAATAAAAGATTAACTACTAAGCCTAGAAGCTGCACAAATCCTTCTGTGCTTGCTGTGCAAACCTTTCCTCCCTAGCAACTTGACATTTTGAGGTTTTAGCTTTCCAGGGGATGTTCATTTAACATTCACAAAGAAAGTTATGTGATGGAGGCTTGTTAACTCTGGGAACAGAGAATAAACTGTCCAGATCACCTCACCTGACACAATTAGGCTCTGAGTTATATGTCAAATTACCATAAGCAGCCCCGGCACCCTGGTTCCCTCCTGCGAGCATCCTTGCGAAGCTCCACGTGCCCTTCTTGGCTTCTGCTTGTAATGAATTAAATATATAAGTCAGATTCCTAGATGAGGCCATAGACCTGCCATCATTTGAATGATCATGGGGATAAAGCCCTCACTGGTAACTTTGTTGAAAATGTGCGCATCCTAGTCCTAAAACAGGCCACAAACTCAAAAGCCTACAGGGGTCAGTAAAGCGGATGGGACAGGGATGGCGGCAGACGGAAGGGGCACACTCTGGCTGGAGGGGAAGCCTTTTCACTCTGGCCGTGGCAACTGGGCAGAAATGCCAGGCTCGTGGGGCCAACATTTCTACTTCTCCGAGAGAAGTAGAAATTCATATTTTATGTAAAATCTTCTGATTTATAAATGTGGGCAACGAATTCGAACAATTTCAAAAGCACTGTGACCTCTCCAGATTCTAGATCCATAAATCTGTTTCCCAGACTGGCAGGGAATGTAGAGTATACCAAATTCAACTCCCTTCTTTCACGGACGGAGAAAGTGAACCGCAAAGTGGACACACGATTTTCCTACGGCCAAGTAGCTAGTTTGGCAGCGGAGCCAGATCGAGAAGGAACACCTGCTTCCGGTCTCCTGCATCACTTCTCATTCCACAAATGAGAAGAGAGTTAATGGCTATAGGCCTAGTTAAAAAGTTAGTAGAGCCAAGTCTGGCTTACAGTGCCCCGGCAACGGTATCAATATACTGTTCTCTTTTACTCTCTCGGGCTTCTAGACAACGTATAGGAGGCAGGGTGCTATTATTATGAAGCAGTGGAGTAACATTACAGCAGAACATTTTTGTCCCAAATTGATTTTCCCCTCACCTGGAGCATACCACAGCTACATGGCTCTGCTCCATGAAAGGAGGGCCTAGCATGTTCCCATTGGGGAAGGGGATTGGTACGGTCATCAGTCCAAGACAAGCAAGGCTCACGCAGCAGGAGAAGATTAAGTACAAAACTTACATTCACAGAACACTCCCATTAACCTCAGTGGGAGCTGTGCTTGCAGAAATTGCAGGGTCAGCAGCTGAATAGAGACAGGAATGAGGCACTAAAGCTCAAGTCATAGGTTACTATTAGGATTGTATAATTCCAGCTCCATATTTGCAAAAGAGTTCATTTTTATTATCTAGTGAGATCTCCCTCTACTGACTCTCCCGGCAGAGTCTTCGGAAGAACCCTTGTTAAGACCTCATCTGTGCTGTCTGTGCAGTTGAAGAAACTTGGCAAATCGCAGAAGTTAGGACAGGTGCCAACAACATTTAGAAAACAGGCTTAGCTGTTTTGGTTCTGCTGGCCCACGGGGTTCATCATCTTTGATTGTTAGTGATCTGGGCCTAGGACAGTGCCTGGTACAGAGTAGGTACTTAATAATAGTGAATAAATGAAAGATTGGATGGATAGCTTCACATTCCTTGCCAGGCTCACTTAGGAGACCTCCCAATCTAATAAGGCAGAATTAGTCACCCCTTTGCTGCTTCCTAGGAGCCATCCAAGGCAAGGCCAAGAATCAATAAGAGAAGCAGGCTCTGCCGCTGTCTTGGCACAGAGCCATGCCCTTTTCAGCCATGTGTGGCTGGAGGTGGGGGTGGGGGTGGGATCCTATTTAAGCTACTGCTGTGCTCCCTCCAGTAGGTAAGCTGAAAAGCCTCTGCAGGCTTACCTGATTTTTTTTTTAATAAAGATTTGTTTATTTATCTATCCATTTATTTATTTAAGAGAGATAAAGAGAGCATGAGCAGGGGGAGGGGCAGAGGGAGAGAGAGAATCCAAAAGCAGACTCCCCAGCTGAGCGTGGAGCCCAACTCGGGGCCCCCAGGCGCCCCTTAGCTGATTTTTAAATAAATTCTCTCCCTATGATAATGAAGGACTGAAAATACTATATTTGGTACAATAATCAATTAAGAGAAAATCTGCTCCTTAAACCCTTTAAGGCCACTATTTTTTTTTTTTTTAATGTAAGCTCTACACCCACCGTGGGGCTCCAACTCACAACCCTGAGATGAGGAGCTGTACGTTCTACACACTGAGCCAGCCAGGCACCCCATAAGTCCAGTATCTTCTGAAAAGTGTTTGTAGCTACAGAAGAATTAGGCACCTGTTTCTCTGGCTCTGCTGTTTTTAAGTATAACATGTATGAAATGAAAGTTAACAGGTAACCTAGGTGGTAGGTAAATAAGCAGTCACTCCAATGTTTCAAACTTTTCTGCATATTTGCAAAGGTGGTAATACAGTGTTGGGGGGAAAGTTGTCCGCTGTCCAAAGAGCTACAGGCAGCTTCTTAAACCATGCTCTGGCAGCAAGTTGGTCTTCAGCTGGTCCTGCCATCACATGCTGGTGGCAACCATATAGATCCAAACTAGTAACAATTTAAACCATATGCCACCCACCCTTTCAAAGAACTTCATGCAGACGAGGGAACAAAGGCACAGAGATGTTAAATAATTTTCTCGAGGCCAAACTGCCAAGTGGAAAAAGAACCATCAAGTTTGCCATCAGACTTCTGCTCCTCCTCCTTCTTATTCCACACTGCTTCCCGTGCTTAAAGGAGAGGTATCCTCTGTGAGAAGGGATGTCTGCTCCTAGTTGTCTCTCACCTATTTTGAATATTTAAATAACCACGTATGGCACTTTTTCTGAACAGAACATGTCTACTTTATTTTATATTATGTAGTTAATATTTTATCTAGATTCTAGATCAAATACAGTTCTTATGATGTATATTTTGTTGGAAGATAATGTATAAAGTAGGTTATTCTTAGGAAAAGCCCAACACGAGTTTCCACATTCCAGTTCACACTCATCCCTCATCATCTTTTGGGGGAACTGAGAATTCAGAATGACAAGTGATTGCCTAAAACCTCCTCCCTCTAAATTTAGAAAAGCCTAATAAATCAAATAACCAGAATGTCCTTTCTTTTCATCCTTTCCTCCTATAGTAGGACCACCTTGGGCTCATGGATGGTGAAGTATGCTTAATCCCACCTGTACTGGTCTAACTAATGCTGTCACTGAAGTAGGTTACGGCTGAGTAGATATTGAATTCTAGAACCATGAAAACACTGTTTAGAATCAAGGTCACAGAGATGAATAGAGCTTAAAAGATACCACCCAGTCCTCTCCTTATTCTGTAGTAGTAAGTTAGGTCCTATGGCTGAACCCACTCAGAAATCTGAGAATTTCTCCATTTTTAACAGCTTTATTAAAAGAGGGGTCTGGAATATAAAATCCATTCCAATGTTTTACAAATATTCTCAGAACCCTAATAAAAAATCTCTTGGGTCATGCCACTCCCCCCTTGTTATTTTGCACTGAAGTCAGAGCAACTGGTTGAGCTTTTTCTCATTAAAACTCTTCATTGCTTAAAGGCTGTTATTAAAGAACTGATCAGCTCCTGATGACAAGGACCATGGCTTATATATGACTTACACCTTTCTGTGTCCCCTGACAAAGTCTTCAAGTGCAACTGGACTTCAATTAAATAACGTTCTCGTTTCTAATGATGACATCATCCTGAAATAGTCCTCAATCTCATTTTTAACTATGGAAGCTGGAACTAAATCTACTAGTTTCCAAAAAGTTTAACCGGGGCACATTATAAAGGAAAAGAAAACCCACTGTTTTTATATCTCCTACCTCTTTTTAAAAATTATCACTCTTTCCTGATCCGGTTAAGATTTACTACAGATAGTCACAATGTTGTCATTCTTTAGGATCTAATGAGGTCAAAGAGATTCATTATTCAATTGTTTTCTTCATTCAATTACAAAAAAAAAGTGTTTGATTTAGAAGATATCTTAAGAGCACTCCTAACAAATTTGATTTTGCAATTTTTTTGGCATGATTAGCATGATTTCAGTTGGAGCTTTGTTTTATGAGCAAACACGGTGAAAGTCCAAAAGGTGCTATGCAGGTCAGAAGGAAGATGTTTTTCCTGAGACTCCTGAAGCCCTTCTTGCTCGTTGGCCAAGCCCGAAGACTGCGTCTCAGTTCCACATCGGACCACTAGGTGGCACCAGAACTTTGAATTAGCAAAGAGAGGAAAACCCGCTTAACCGGCCTTTACGTCATTTGCTACGAACCTTCAATTAATATCTTCTAAAAAATAATTCATTATTTTTATCAATGATCTAGAACATAGTGGCTTTTCACCATTTATTCTTTCTTATGGTCTGTGCTGTGGGGAAGAGGAGATTAAAAGACACGTAAGTCCTTCACCATCTGCCCCTTTCTTCTGGTCAGCTGTAAATTACAGACAGCAGCCTCCAGCAACATCAGAAGAACATCCGGGCTTTGCATTGTCAGACTCTCCTGCAAGCTTGAAAGGATCTGTGATTACACTCTGTCAAAAGGCAAACCAAAACAAAAGGACAAGTTAAAGGTGTTTTGATGTTCCCCAATACTCATATTTCAGTTTGACTGAGGTTGGCTTACCTAGGAGGTAGATAAAATTTTATAATTCCACAGGATCCTTGGGATTCATCTATAAAGGTGGCTGTCTCATCCTGAAGCATCTAATCAAATGTTTACTACTTTCTTTCGTTTTTCAAAAAATATTTTATTTATTTATTTGCAGGAGAGGGAGAGAGCACAAGCAGGGGGAGTGGCAGGCAGAGGGAGAAGCAGGCTTCCCGCTGAGCAGGGAGCCCGATGTGGGACTTGATCCCAGGACCCCGGGATCGTGACCTGAGCGGAAGACAGACACTTAACCGACTGAGCCGCTCAGGCGTCCCAAGTTTTTACCACTTCCAAGGTAAACTTCACTTCAAGTTTTGTAAAGGTGGTCCCTAGGGAAAAGTTGGAAACTAGGAAAGTTGATTTTGTTTCATTTTGTTTTATGGGAGTCCCATTTGTACGTGCCTTTTACCCTTCTGGAACTGAATACCAAAATGCTGACACTTCTTTCCTTCCCTTACTCTCATCTCTAGAAACATGTGTGCAAGACAAGAAGGCAAGTCTTACACACCAGGGCCGTCGTTAGCAACTGCTGATGTTCAGATACTGAGACTGCCAACAACAGCCAGCAAGATCTCAGGGCAGAGTGAGTGGAATTTTCAGAAGACAAGATGGCAGTCTTTATTTTTCTTCCTTTCACCTCCAAATGAGATACCTCCAACAGCAGCACCAGTGAGGCCAGAGAAAAACCAGGCACAAAGGCAGGAAATCAAGAGCATGAACAATCCACCTCAAATAATGATAATGAATTCATTAAACATAAATGTACACTCTTATTACTGATTCTTGGTCACCGCAAATAGAAGGCAGGACAAGACAGGCATGTACCCTACGTTCAGGACAGTCTTATGGACCACTCCCTTTACAGAAATAACCTACTGGGGGCTCTGTGACCTTGGATTAATCTCCCTGAGTCTTAGGTTCTTCATCTGTAAAATGAGGATAATAAGGGTTATTGTGAGGACAAAGTGACACAGTGCCTTGAACATCTTACCTGTTCAGTAAAGGCTAGGTCCTCTAATACTATTCCTAGTGTTGCTGATGTTGTTACTACCACTACTATTAACTGTAGCAAGACAGTGCATACCACAATCCTACATGCATCATTTCAGATCCTGCAGTGTTTTACTAATGTAATTCTTTTTTTTCTTTTGGAGGCTGCATGCCCAGTGTGGAGCCCAATGTGGGGCCTGAACTCACGATCCTGAGATCAATCCCTGAGCTAAGATCAAGAGTCGGACGCTCAACCAACTGAGCCACCCAGGTGCCCCTAATGTAATTCTTTTAATAGCAAGATACACTTTCCTTGTCAGGGTTAAAAGAGAAGAAGGAAGAGAATGAGGAAGAGGAGAAGGGGAAGAGAGGGAGAGGGGGGAGGAGCAGGAAGGGCAGGAGGAAGAAGAGGACGAAAGAAAGAAAAGAAGGGCTCTTGGAAACAGTCCTCACTGAGTCAATGCTCAGGAAGAAGCAGCAGTCCTCACTGGTGGCACGTGTCGGGAAGATGCGAGCACCAGCAACCCCCACGTGCCACCTGCCTGTACTGTGCTCTCGGCCTTTATTGGAAAGGTCTTCTGTAAAAAAGATAGGAACGTCCTCCTCCAAGCACACAAGGTTATATTTCTAGGACACGCAGCTGTTTCATTCCTTAAATCTTCCTTCACTGTCAGCGATTGCCATTTCAAAACCTTGGAACTGATCTAAAGACACGGGCACATCAGCACTCTGAAAGAACCAAGGCAGATGAGAGAGGAGGCAGGTGGGATAAACCAGTTCAAGTACGTGGCAAGTTATGATTGGTATGTGAGGTCAAGAGCCCTCCTGCACGCCCCGCGTGCACACTAAAAGGGAGGTCAAGGAGAGCCAGGCTGGAAGAAGGGGTCTCTGCAGAAGCCAGCCCGCTTAATGACTTTTTTTTTTTTTTTACAACCAGAGTACACTGGAAGTGTTGTGGTTGGAGGAAACACTCCCTTTACTTATAACCATAACCTGCTGACAGCTTTTCTAACTAGGATTCAGGAAACCAGGTTCCAGGAGAATTAGAATGATGAAAACATTTCAAAAATACATATTGATTCTCACCAGCAAGGTTTGGTTATCAGTGAACTCCCAAGAGTTTCAAAATACCAATAACACATTTGTGAAAGGTTTCAAGGGCTGAAAGGTCCAAAGTCACATTTCTCTACTTTCCAAAAAGGTATCTGCTTAGAAAAACAGAAGAGTAGGGGCACCTGGGTGGCTCAGTCATTGAGCGTCTGCCTTCAGCTCGGGTCATGATCCCAGGGTCCTGGGATCGAACCCCGCATCGGGCTCCCTGCTCAGCGGGGAGCCTGCTTCTCCCTCTCCCACTCCCCCTGCTTGTGTTCCTGCTCTCGCTATGTCTCTCTCTGTCAA